AGGTTGTCATTCCTGGTGGTCTCGGATTGAGCTTATGTGGGAAGCTTGTCTTTTCTACATAGTGAACATTCTCATGCCTTATCGTTTGTACATTAACAAACGCATGCGCCATGTGCACGATTGACACAGTTAGCACACTCTACACAGTCAACGAAACAATGTTCTGTTAGGTACTCCACTTCGTAGACACATAAGATACAAGTACACAAGAAGTTGAATTTATTGGGAAGGTTAGCGAAGAAAGAGGGATAGGAGAATTCGGAGGCAACAGGTAGGACAAAAGACGAAGGAGGAGGGTTAACCATCACTCACGCGAAGGACTATTTATCCTTCTGCAAAATATCCAATTTGTCATTCTCAAGCTCGTTCTTCGGTTCTCAATCAATTGACGATGTTACCTCTTCACTGGCGGGTACCTTACTTGGTCGCTGGAGACGTATCAATCCATCAATGTTCTCGTGCATCTCGTGCTTCCGATGGTGGATGTCAAAGTCTATGCTCTGTAACGTAATTGCCCATCGTCCTATCTTTCCAAAGTAGTTCTTAAATTTCTCCATGGCCAGCCAGTGCTGTCACAGTGAATGTGACTGGCCGGTCATATGCCCCACGCTCGTGAACGGCCAAACCATAAAACCATTGTGTTTTTATTTTTCTTTTCTGGCTCATCGTGCTACTGTTGTGACAAGCCCCACATCGTGATGACATTAAAAAAAATAACAAATTGAAATAGCCAAAGTAGCAAATCCAGATATATGGATTTATCCGGATTTGCAGACCGGATAATAGTGTCCGCATGAAACTGGATTAAGTATATCCTGAGTGTAAAAAATCGGGTACTTTTCCAAAAAAAAACAAAATCTCAAACAAATCTGAAAACAAAGCATATTAGAGATAATCACAATACCAACAACTTTTACCTAGAGGTCATTTCAAAATTCCTATCATATCTGAAGATAAAAAAAGCAAAAAAAATAAAAATAAAATAAATATCCGGATTCAGGACTTTATCCGAAAATTTTGGATAAACCTTTTTTCCCCCGGATATTCCGGCCTGATAGTTCGCACAGTGAATGCGACTACACATGCCATGCTACCTAGGAAATCACGTACAAAACAACAAACAATAAACTTTATTTTCGATGGTTCCGTGATGTTTTTCATTTTAATTAAAAATAAATATTCGAAAAAAAAAAAAAACATTATGGGGGGGTATACTCCGATGACCACCAGTCCACCACCTTTGGAAAAAAAACCCCAGCTAAAATAAAAAAAACATTCTCGCTATATGCTACGTGACACCCACGGCCTAGGCCGCGGGCAATTCGGTCGCGGCCGCGGCCTGGTTTTTTAATATTTTTTTCATTCTCCTAAAAATACATTAAAAAAAAAACGTGTCGTGGGGCTTGCAAAACCCTACAATCCTAGATTTGTTTTTTTGGAATCCGACATCGTTTAGGATTTCAAAAAAATAAAAATCGAAAATCGATTTAAATAAATTGAAAAAAAAAAAAAAAAAAAAAAAMAAAAAAAAAAAAATTTCCATTTTTTTTCATAAGGGACAAGGTCGCTGAGTTGTCCTGTTTTTTTTTAGCAATGTTTTTCGGGTTTGTGTCTGGCAATTGGGTGTTAAGAAAAAATTAAGATGCAATAATTGAAAAAAAGAAAAGAAAAAAAAAAAAAAGGTCAGGTGTGTTTGTGTGTGTGTGTGTGTGTGTGTGTGTGTGTGTGAGAGAGAGAGGAAGTGGAGATAGCGAGGAGAGAGAGAGCGAGTGAAACCAAGAGAGAGAGAGAGAGTGTGCGTGCGCGGTTGTATGTGTGTGTGTGTGTGCGTGGGCGGGTGTGTGTGTGTGTGTGTGGGTGCGCGGCTGTGTGTGTGTGTGTGTGTGTGCATGCGGGTGTGTGTGTATATGTGTGTGTGTGTGTGTGTGTGTGTGTGTGTGTGTGTGTGTGTGTATGTGAGTGTGTGCGCGCGCGCGTGTGCCAGGGGGAGCCCGAGGAGGGGAGGGAGGTTCCCTCCCCCACTAATCAATCAGTCAATCAATCAATCAATCAATCAATCAAAAAAACTATCACTCAATAAACATTTATTTTTTTTCTATTTATTTAATTTTTTTCTCACATACCAAAAAACACCCCCCCAATTTTTTAATTTTTTTTTTTTTTTTTTTTAACAGGGCCATAGAGGCCGACGTGCGATGCCCACGCGCGCGCCGCTGTTTTTACGCGCACGCCCCGACCTGGGTTTAGGGCAGCCGCGCGGCCTCAGCCGCCGGCCCGAGATCGGCCTCCTCGGCCGCCTCCTAGGCCACAGGATCCGCGGTCTGGGGTGTCACGTAGGCTGTATGTAAACTCCCTGAACTACAACCGATCAGGATTTCCGTGACGGGTGACCCTACTCCGTTCTGAAAGCCCGTGAACGGTGAACGGTGGTATTGCACTAGGGCCAGCAGAGGTTCGTCATCTGTGACAAAAGTGAACTTTCTGCCATACAAATAAGCCCGGAAGTGGTTGATACACTGTAAAACATTCTCTTGTGGGAGCCGAGTAGTTTCATTTAAACTCGGGACCCGGTATGGTCTTTGAAGTGTAGCCCACAATGTGTTCGAATCCGTTCGGTTCTGCTTGGGCCAAAATCGCAGATATTGCCTTTTGTTGCTAGTATGTAATCAGAGTGAATAGCCTTCTAGGGTCCGACCTTGTCAAAATTGGGGTCAAAATCAAAGTGGTCCTTAAATCTCGGAACGCTTGATCGCATTACGGGGTCTAGATCAACGGTCGATTTTTCTTGAGAAGATCCATTAGTGGGCCCTGCGATTGCTGCAAAACCCTTGATAAACCTCGGATAATAGAAAGTAAGTCCTAAAGACGTACAAACTTGCGTGAGCAACGTAGGAACAAGTGAATCCTGGACCACCACGATATTTCATGGGTCCGACAATTGGCCCTAAGGCTTGTCAGTGACAATATGCCCCCAAAACGAAATCTCTGACAAAAAAAATTGATATTTGTCGATAGCCACCTTGAATCTTGCGTCTTTCAGCGCATGCAACATTCATTCAATATGTTGTGCATGTCGCTTATTCGAATTTGAATACTCCAAGATATCTATATAAACAATCACATAAAAGTTGATTATGCTCATTGCCAACTGCGTTTTTCGCACGAAGTTTTGAAAAATAATATTCATCGTGCGCTGAGACGTAGTTGGGGCATTGCATATGCCCATTGAACAATGAATCCAATGCCAGGTCCCTTCAAAAAGAACAAAGGAAGTGTTTGACCTATCTTCCTTTCGAACAAGAGGGTGATAGAATCGACAACGGATATCAAACTTGCTGAAAAATTGCGAACACCCAATAATATCCCAAAGTTCATCAATTTTGGGAAGAGGATACATATCTTTTACAGTAATGTTGTTCAATTCTTGGGAATCGATGCATATTCGAATTCATCTGATCTTTTTAGGCACAATGTTGACAGGAATGGACCACAGACCAATCACAGTGTCGATCCACCCATTAGCTTCAACTCCTTGATCGTGGAGAAGGCGCCAAGCCGCTGAGTAAGAGAATATCGGTAAGGAGTATAACTAATTGGCGGATGGTTATCCGTGAGAGTCACATGCTCAATCACATTTATCACACCATTATTATGATCAGGTATACTCAGTAAAATCGCATACTCATGCAAAACATCCCGGAGAAGTTCCTTTACCTCTTCAGGAACGTGCAACCGGATTAATATAGGTCTGATGCTGTCAAAGATCGTAAGTTGGATCTTATCAGATTACCATCTCAATGCTCATGGATGTCTAGGCTTGGTGCAGGAAAACATCGAACTGCTGGTTTCAGACTGAGAACACTGTGACAAAAATTATGAGTCCCGCCAGACCAATTGTTTTGGTTTCTTTGTCCTTAATATCAAGTTCTGGATTCATCACACTTGGGGCGATTTCTGATCTTGTGAGTTCTCAAATCAAGATTATCAAGTACCTTTATAATTGGAAGTCCCGCCTCAACCTTAATCATCCCCTACATAGCACCGTGTTCGTGTTCAGAGGCGAACGCGAATAAGTGTCCCAAAACCACCGAATGCAAACATAAAAATTATTACAAAAAAAATAAAACAATCTCTAAAAAATCTGAAAACAATATATGTTATGTAAAATAACAATGCAAGCAACTTTTGCCTTGGAGTCATGTTCCAAATCGTAGTGAACCATGAGTTAAAAATCCAAAACCAAAAATAATATATATATATATATATATATATATATTTTATACGAAAAAAAGTGTGTTCGACCGAACATGTTCGCGAGCTGTTCGCGTGAACACGTTCGCGCGAATGTGAAGGGGCGCGAACACGTTCGCCGTGCTATGTAGATCATCCCTACCATAGCTGAGGTTGTTTGTAAGGGCCGGGGGATAGCGATGGAGAGGTCTGTGTGATGAGAGACCAACTGGTAATGTTCCCAAAGCGACAATGTCCTTGTACGAGGGGGTTCCATGAGATCGTCCATATCTGAAATTTTTAGAATAGGCTCTCCTAGCTAGGAAACAAGTGGGACACGAGTCTCCGTTTGAGTGAGGAAAGGGGGCGGTACCTCTTAATTAGAGTATGTTTGATCCCCTTATTAAAAGGAACGAGTTGGATGAGGGAGTATTCAATATTCTTCATTGGCATCGTGAAGGAATAGTTTCACGACATCGTCTTATTTTTTCTTAGTGGGCACATAATCATGGATTTCAACAAGGTTGGTTTCATCGTATTCTTCCTCGGAGGAGAGATAATCGCTAATGTTTCCCTTATAATGTGGATCATCAAAATAGCTCACATGCCTCCCATGATCAGTCCTCTCAATTTAATCCAATCATCCAAAGACACAAAGCTTTCTCCATCATTTCTCTTTCTGTTGTTCGTGTTATTGAAATAAGTAGGGAAATGGTCAATAGCTTACTGCTGGTATTGGTAAGTATCAACTAGCGATAGTCAAAGTGGATTTGTGAACCTATTGGGATTTCCCACGATAATCCCAACAATATATGATAGAGCGTAATGTGCACGTCGGGGAATGTGTACGGGGACAAGGAACGCAACCCCGCGCAATTCGTTAATTCTCTCGAATCCGTCACCAAGAACGGGGAGGGTGTCGTCTTCCTCGGAAAGCCACATGCGCGATCAGTGTGGGAAGTACTGAATGCAGGACGGCACGTCATCGCGATGGAAGGGAACTCTGAGCTCTTGCAATTTACAATTGATCTCGTCAAAAGCGAGGTCAATTCGGGTGCCCACAATTGCGAGTTCATGGTCGTCACCGAGACTCGGGCTCGCGCGTGGAACAACAAGAAGGACATGTGGTTCAAGTCGAGTGCGAGGAAGCGGAACAAGATATACGACTTCTTGTTCCTGCAAACGTGGCCGAAGAGAGACACTGACGTCGAGTACGTGCGCCACAAGGATCACATATTCACATTGCTGGACAACTACCACGGCGCCCCCCGCATGAACGCGAAGACCTTCCTCGACAGGTTGCAGTCCCTGTACTTCGTGGAGTCAGAGGAGGAGTTGACGTTCGACAGTTACTCCTCCTTGATCTCCACGGAAGACGAGGAGACCACCGGCATCGAGTTCGACGCGACCGCGGACGAGGAGGGCAGCGACACCGAAAGCCTCGACCTACAGTACGACCCACATCCCGCACAGCACGCTACAGGGTCGTCCTTGGCAGGTCTGTCAACAAGCCCGGCGTACCTCGTGTCACGGATGGCGAAACTGGCGCCTGGCACTACCCCGATGAAGTTCCCGCAGAGACTGCAAGCTCTGGCCTCCGGCCATCGCTCACTGCGTCCCGGGTCTGACATCCCGGCCGATCATCTGTCTGGGAAGGATGCCAACATTCACTTCCTGCCTGAGCCTCAAAGTCGTTCCACCGAGGCGGACTGGGCCCATGACATGATTTGGCATCCAGGAGTCATCCAGCCGGCGATCCAAAAGGGTGAGTGGATCGTGGCCGTCGCTGTCCTGGACGGAGGATGGATGCCCCTCCCTCGCGGGTCGAAGTCTGACTTCCTCGAGGTCGCTAGAATTGCGGTCCTCCAGAAAGTGAGGGCCGAGAATGACTCTTTCGCACCCGAAGACGTGTTCGTCATTTCCACAGCCGGGCGATTGTTTGCCGAACTTCAGGACAAGTGCTGGTTGGAGCTCAGAGGACTACTACGACCTCAACACGAGCCCCTCGAAGTGAAGGGTGGACTGGAAAATCCCCCCTCCCAGTGGGACGCATGTAAGTACAGAGTCCCGGGGACCGGACGGTGGGGAGAACGAGGAGGACGAGGCTGGTGGTGGCAAAGGAGTCCCGCCTGGTTCGGAGGGCAGGTCTCAAGGCGACACAACGACCGCGGAAGCAGCGGCGGGGTGGCGGGGGAGGCCTTCGGGCGTCAGCAGTCTACCGGTCCCGGTCCAGAAGGCTCGGCACAGTCAGCGGACGTGCCCACTTCATCCGTCGGCTCGGTGATGGCGGCCTTGGTTGCTCTCCGTGTCGGCTCGGTCGAAACGTTCAAGTCCGCCGGGATCCGAACTTCAATGCTTGCAGAGCGGACAAAGAGGACGGACGTGCAGAGCTGGTCAGGAGCGGGGGTGGCGAGTCCTGATCCCAAAATAGACAGCGGTGCGGTGAGGGACGGGACTGCGCCGCCTGCGGGGGATCGCCAACCGCTTCGGTCGGAGCGAGAGGGTACGTGTGGAGGGCCCGGCAACAGGGAGACGACGAAGTTCGCCGGGATCCGAACTTCTTCAGGCAAGGGGAGCCAACCAGGGATTGTGGTGCCGGCGGGAGGGGCTGCGTGCGGCGGGCGGGAAGGACATTCATCGGAATTCGACACGGGTTCGGGCGAAGTGGCTGGATTGCATGCACGGGAAAAGGGCAGGGTGATGGACAAAGAGAAGGAAGGGGAGGAAGGAGACACAAGGGAGGAATTGGAGGAAGGAGGGGAGGATGGGGAGGAAGAAGAGGATGAAGGGGAGGAAGAAGAGGAAGGGGAAGAAACGGAGTTGGCTAGGTTGCTAGGAGGGAAGGACGGGGAAAAAGGTGAACTCGATACTGGAGACGACGAACGGGCGTTCGGCGACGACGATGACAAATCTGGGGACTCGTCTGATGGATTCGGGCAGCTGTATGGAGAACATCGCGAGGAAGACGACGACGGCGATGACACGGCACTGGGTATGGAGACACAGGTGGTCACAAGCCTTTCAGGAGAACGTGATGACTATGAGGTCGAAGCAATGACGTCTGCCGCCGATCTCCAACACCGGTTCAACGAAGCTCGTGTTGCAGTCAGCCTGACTAAACCGAGTGTGCGTATTGACATCGAAGAAGTTATCGACGGTATCCTGGGCGACCACCACACGTCCTCGCAGCCGTCCTCGACGCCTGGTGTCAACGACCCTCTCGACGTCAAACCTTCTGGGGGATCTGTTGTGGCTTTCTTGCCGACGAACTCTCTGATGCTGCAGCCAACCATCGCAAGCGGAGGAGAAGGGGAGATCGGGGGACGACAAGAAAAAAATTGTCGCCAACACTCGAGCTCTCAACGTGCTGGCCTTGCCCGCGCCAACTTCGCCGATTAAGAAGCGGAAAGACAAACCAGCTGGTAAGCAGTGACAAACGCCACTCTGTCTGCGCGCCAGTGACCGCAGTGTCTGTCGCATGCTACAACCACCACGCCTTCAAACTTCCAAGTACATGTGAACGACCTTCCTGTGAGTCGGCCAGGTCACTGGTCGTGTGCAGGGCATACGAGACAAAAACATGTGTGTTTTTGTTGAAGCGTTCCCTTACATAATGGAAGGATGGTGTTTCTTTTTCGGAATGAGTGGTGGTTTTAGTCCGCCGGGATCCGCACTGCCAAGGCGTCTGCGTAATGCGGTTACTCTTTTTGTGCCTCGATTGGGAAAAGTCCGCCGGGATCCTGACTTCATAAATGTTTGGCCTCCGCGTTTGTGGCTTGTTGAGGTTTTCCCTTCTAAAGGGCGGGGGTGTCGAGGTCGAACGCACTGCTTCTTTTGTTTTCCAGCGGGGCTTGCGTTGAAGTATTATCTGTCTCTCTCATGGCTAAACCGGGTTCTGTAATTAGATAGGACGGGGCCTTTGCCACAGCTAAAAGTCCTTCAGGACATCCGTTAAAATTGGAACGATACGGGAAAGATTAGCACGGCCCCTGCGCAAGGATGACACGCATAAATCGGAAAAAGGGCCGAGCACCTTGGGTTTTTGCTTTCTTCCTCTTTGCTATTCTCGAGTGCAGCGGTCAGAGGCACTGGGTTGGGCGCACAACGCCGCTACTGCATGCAACGCTCGTCGGTCTTGGGTTTAGGGGCGAAAGACTAATCGAACCGTCTAGTAGCTGGTTTCCTCTGAAGTTTCTCCTACAATCGCCAGACGGGCTGGGCGTTGAGGCTGCGCTGGGAGCCGTGGGGCTGTACGGCCAGTTGCTGCGCTGGTTGCATAGAAGACGAGCTCGACAGGGGTGGTGAAAACGAAGGAGTGAACCGGGATGGGAAGTCGCGACAGGTGCGTGCGGCGCAAAGAAATCAGAGATGGCGGAGAAGCAAGGCCGGGGCGCAGTGAGGAGGAGGTATCTCTCGTGATACCTCACTGAATCGGACGGGGGAGGAGGCGAGATCTGGGTTTTCGGGGGCAGCGAGCGTGATTCCGAGGTTAGATTCGGGAGAGAGAGAGAAGAAAGTGAGGTAGAAGAAAAAAGAAATGGGTTGCGCGGAGGTAGCAAAACGAGAGAGATGGTGAAGAGTAGGAAATTGAGGTATCACTCGACTTAGGGTGGAATCGTGTGGGGAAAGTTAGGATTCCGGGGTTATTGGCAGTGGCGAAACCGTTGATAGAATCGGATTTGAAGATTAGTGGTTAGTTTAGCCGCATAGAGAAAATGGGTTGCGCCCGGATGGAGGGAGATTTTGGAGTGGGAAGGTATATTTTCATGCTCTAGCGGAAGATTCATTCGATTTTGCTCAACCTTTTACTAGGAGCGGCATGCGGCCAGCCGCGGGGTTGGAGACTTGAGGTTCCCTACAGGTCGGTGCGTTGCTCCGCTCATCGAAAGAAGTGGCTTCTCCCTATCTCACTTCATGCGTGGCTGGAAGTCATGAATCCAGCCGTACTCCAGCGGAGGATTCATTCTCAAAATAGCACAGGAGATTGAGCCCGCTATGCTGCCGCATCACGTACTGTTTGAGGTAGCTATGCTTAACAAGGTCGTGCTCGGCTTTCCCCATGATCGTCGTCGTATTCATAGTTTTTCTTCATGCTGGTTGTCGTATCTTCGTCGCCACAGTCGTCGCCTTTTCCGTCTAGTGCCTTCCTTCGCCTGATCGTGGTTCTATTGCACACGTAGTTGTGTTTGAGTACGTAGCACCTAGTTGTTTATGCTGCCCCCTTCACTGTGTATTTACCTGGCCGAGGTGTCGGCCAGGTTCGTTGGAAGGAGGGCATAGGCGCAGGCAAGAGGCCACACAACGAGAGAGAGAGGTTAGTATGGTAATGTGAGGGAACATACCTACCTTGTTGGAGCATACCCGTGGCCGGAGCCAGCGGGCACGGTATCGCGCACAGCAGGGAAGTTGAGGCCAGGCTCGTGAGCCTGTGCAGTTCTCAACGTGAGTTTCGAAGTGGTGATGAGCGTTCGACAGGGCTATAGCTGCGGAAGGAAGGCTTTAAGTGTGTGCCTGCCCAATTGTGGACTGCCTAAATCTGGGAACTTGTAGCACAATTATGTTGTGCTCATGCGGTGTGTTGTTGCTAGGTTGCTACGTCTGCATTTTTGCTGCTTGTCTCTACGTTTGTTGTCTACCGCTGAACAACCGCTGTTGGGCTTTCACTAACTAACGCTGTGCAAGTTATTGCTACTGGTAGAGTCGGTTGCTGTGTGGTCAAACACCGGTGCTATTGCTGGGTGTTCTAATATTTCTGTTGGGGCCGACCTACGGCTGAGGTTGGAAGGACAGGGGTTGCTGCACTTTGTCTCTCTGCGTGTATAGCTAGAAAAGTATCTCATCCCTTATGTTCAGTATGTATTTCATCCCTCCCTTGCCTAAAGGCATGGTGACGAGATCCAGATGAACTCGAGTGCCTGGCTGTACTAGGATAGTAGGAAATAAAGGTTCAATCATCCTTGCTATGGATCTCTTCTGACATAGCACACAAAATTTGCAAAGCCTGTAAATCATGTCTCTCATGCCAGGCCAAAAGTCAAGTTTGACAGTTTTTGAATAGGTTGCTTCAGCTCCTCTGTGACCACCAGCAACCCCCTCATGTAAAGCAACAATTAATTCTAACTGCATTTCTCTTCCACAGACAATTATTAGTGGAGGCAACCCTCCCTTGCCATCCACGAAGAGATGACCTCTCTTCAGTCTGAACTTTTTCCTTGAATTTTTGCAGTAATATTCTTTCTGTTCGCTTTCTATTTTCTTTCCAATCTCCTAGTAATTCCCATCATATTCTTCAAAGATGAAAGATATATCTTCATTTCTCTTTCTATCTTCTTCTTTCTTTTCAGCCTCCTCCTCATCTTTTGATCCAGAACTCTCACCAGTCTCATGGGCAGCTACAGTTGCCGCACTGATCCTGGCATACTAATCATTTTGTTCTTCATCCTATTCTTTTCCAAGAATTAATTCAAAAACACAGGCTTCAGAGTTTTCTCCCCAGTTGTCTCTCTCTTTTGGCCATAAGCTCCGTTTATAAGAACTTGAAGCCTTGTAATTTTCATCATCTTCCTCATTTAGAAAGTTATCAACATAGGCAGATTCTTCTATAAAGCCATTAATATCCTTATCTTCTTCTTTTCTCCATTCAATTCGGCTTAGGCCATCTGCCTTGTTTTTCTCCGTAGGAATCTTTTCCAGTTTAAAATCAAAAGTCCAAATGAAGACAATCCACCTGCTTACTGTTGGATCTACTTGTTGGTGTTTTTTAATAGCACAAATCACGGCAGATGCATCAGTTCTCAGAATGAATCTTCTTCCTAGCACGTAGTGTCTGAAGCACCTGAGACAGTGGATGATGGTCAGTAGTTCTTTCCTGAACTCGGTGTATCTTCTCTCTATCGAATTGAGAGTTGTACTCTCAAATCTCCGAGGTCTCTCTTTTCCATTCTGATCCTTTTGAATAAGTACGACCCCAAGAGCTACCGGTCCCCCATCCGCCTCGATGATGAAGGGTCTTCCCTCCTCATCATCATAGAAAGGCACTGCCAACACTACTCCCCCATCTTTTAATTTTTCTTGTAGTGTTTCAGCAGCAGTTTGTATTTTCTCTACCGATGATAAATCGGGTTCTTGTCTCACCATCAACAGAATATTCGTGAAAACCTAACAAAACAAATTGTTAGATTTGCACGAATATTTTTTAAGTTTTACAAATGCTGATTTTCTGGCCTTTCTAAGAGACCAAATTTCGGGAGCAGTGGAATGACCGGGAAAAAAATGGAAAAAAAAAAACTTCGGGAGGACCAATTGGAAAAGCGACAAAAAAACAATGTTTTTCGACTGTAAATCACGAGCAGGTGTTACTCACAAGCTTGAGAGCTCAAAAATCTCATATTTTTTGCAAGCAATAGATGCCTGCTCCAGGAAGGGTCAACTTTGCAGCTCTCGTCTACGTCGTTAGTTCACATTTGTTGTCCTGTAGTTACATTTTCGCAGAAGTGTGTTTTTTCCGACCTCGGGCCTAAAACGAGGTGCGGCTGTCAACAACATGCCAGGATAGACTTATAGTTTTATAAGTACATTCGTTTCAAGAACCGGTTTCGAAGGCTAACCACAAGCTCGTTTCACTCTCCTTTAAGTTCGTGTTTGTCGAGCCGGACTTTTATGTTGTGTGAAAACCTCTTTACAGTCCTATAAGTGTGAACCCGAAAAAAAACCAGGACTCCTTCAGTTCAAGTTCAGATTTATAGTCCTATAAATGTCTCTACCACGAATCCGAGAAATAGCCAGGACTTCTTCAGTTCAAGTTCAAATTTATAGTCCTATAAATGTCTCTACCACGAATCCGAGAAATAGCCAGGACTTCTTCAGTTCAAGGTCAAATTTATAGTCCTATAAATGTCTGTTCCCCGAATCCGAAAAAGAGCCAAAAACTTTTCAGTTAAGTTCAAATTTATAGTCCTATAAATGTCTGTTCCCGGAATCCGAAAAAGAGCCAAGAATTTTTCAGTTGAAGTTCAAATTTATAGGCCTATAAATGTTTGTTCTCCGAATCCGAAAAAGAGCCAAGAATTTTTCAGTTGAAGTTCAAATTTATAGTCCTAAAAATATCTCTTTTCTGAATCCGAAAAATAGGCAAGACTTCTTCATTTGAAGTTAAGATTTGTAGTCATGTAAATTTATCTTCATCGAAAAATGGGGGGAGAGAGAGAGGGGGGGGGGGGGGGGGGGGGAGAGAGAGATAGATTTTGTGGTACTATAAGGATAGCAAATCGCTTGTGTGTTTTGTTGACTAGAGCCAAAAACACAAAGAGAGAGAAAAACTAAGCAGAGAAAGAAAATAAATGAGGTGACTTATTCTTTCCAAGATGTTTGACCTCCGCTTCTAACCTCTCTATTTGGATCCGACCCTAGAATTCTACCACATCTGCTTTTGAAAGGTTATAAATG